ATCATAACATAATAATTGTGAGATGAACATTTAAGCGGGAGTTTTCGGATTACAACGTGTCTCCGATTGATCTTCTTCCGCAGACGTCAAAGGCAGAACCTCCTCAAAAGTTGCGCTTGGACACCAGCCCCCTGGAGTGGAGTGTGACCGATGTGGTTCGTTTCATCAGGACGACCGACTGCGCGCCTCTCGCGCGCATTTTCATGGACCAAGTAAGAGATAGACAGGGAAACGCGCGCGCACAAGCGCCTCGGGGTAAATCCGATCTGCCGTAACAACGCTCCGACTTCGTGCCCGTAGGAGATCGACGGACAGGCTCTTCTCCTGCTCAATCTGCCGACGGTGCAGGAGTGCATGGACCTGAAGTTGGGGCCGGCCATCAAGCTGTGCCATCACATCGAGAGGGTCAAACTGGCGTTTTATCAACAGTTTGCCACGTAGCTGAAGGAAGGACAAGAAGCAAACAAGGAGGGGGACTATTTATTCTGACCTTCCAACAAAAAAAAAAAAAAAGACCCATTCTGACCTTGCTTACACTGGACAGCACCTTGCCACCAGAACACGACCACAATTGAAGAGGGATGGAAAGAGCAACATCAACGGTGAGACTTCTGGGTGTTTAAAAAAAAAAAAAGTACAAAAGAGAGAGAGCTGCAACGGGTTCATCAAACGCACAATAGGCTCTCTTCAGGCCACTAAGGGTTGCCCCTAAGCCTCTGCTATAATTAAGAGTGTTTTGAAAACAAGATGATTTTTGTCGGTGTGAAACTTAATTTTACATTTTAAGTTTCAGAGAAGGCTTTTTAATGTATTTATGTCTTTTAAGTGCTCCAAATCCCCCCCGCCCCTCCACATTGGATTTTTATTTACTTATTCTCTAACTATTGCTTCACAAGTACTTGTAAATATTTGATGTTGTTGTGTGTGGCAGACATTGTTTTGCCCCCTAATCCGCTACGCTGGCTTTCGCCAGTCCAATTCAAGCGTTAAGAAAGTCAGTCTCACATATGGCTCGAAGCGCTGGAAAACAGCAAACCTGCTTCCTCGCACGCGGCAATACCCTTCGACACCGAAATTGCATTCTGTCAGAGTGATGAAACAAAATGTATCAATACAAAGCCTTCAGGTCAGCTCCGGGACAGTTGGCGTAATGATGTCGAAATGTTCGCGGTCAGGAATTATTTCATGGAGTGATATGATATGACTTGATTTTAGCGACGACAGAGCTAATTGTTTTCTCGTTGCCTTCTGATACATGGCCACGAATGCAGGCACAAGTACTATCGTCCACCGTATCGCAATACTGACTTGGCTTCATGTTTGTAAATATCGTCCACAAATATCCGGAGTGCGACAGGGTCATTGCATGAGAAATGATTGAGATAAATAATCCTAATAGCAATGTGGAAATGCTCTAAATATTCACTATATTTGCACAGACTACAGTAGTTTACTCTTTCAAAACAAAGTCTTCGGTGCCGGTGATCATTCTGGCCTTTTCGCGCCACCATTTTTTTTTTTCAATGAACTCACTGCGAGCAGCAAATAAACCGCCAGATTTCAAGAGCAATGCGGTGCATTGTAACAAAAAGAAAACCCTTCATTTCACCTGGCCTTATAGCGTGATCAATTGCCATGGACTGTTTGTGTTTTTGTAACAAGGGGGAAAAAGCAGGTGTCGATTCATATGTTCTCTCGTGCATCAATTGTTGCACTCAATTCCATGCAGTTTGAACATAATTATTAAAAAAACAAAACAAAGCAATGCAATAAAATTGGGGCACCTCATTTGATTTCCTTGTCGGCCTGCTTTTCCGCACTTCATTTCCCAGAGTACATTTCGCGAAGGCGTGTGTCACGTGACTCGCGCCTCTGTCAACAAGAGTGTGTGAAGAAGCTGTGTGAGGAAGCTGCGCGATGCGAGCGAGTCATGACCTGCAATTTTTTCATCTCAGTCGGTTTTTTAGAAGCCACGGGACGAACACTTTAGCCGGCGTTGAGACTACGGCGTGGGCCCTCAAATGCCTTCGACGTCTCCGGCAAGAACGGCCTTTTTTCAGCTTGGCGGCGCTGAATAGTTAGCTTGCAAGCTAAGTGCTTAAGCTAGTACAGCAGCATCATTCGTTTTTTTTTTTCTTTGTTTTTTGGTATCGATTAATTCTACGTGTGTGCCGCTCTTTTGGTGAATGGGCGTTTTGGCGAAACGAAATCATGCTTTTCGCATCCAACTTGCTGTACTCGGGTTCGGCTCGGTGACTCGGTCGACTTGCTGACCCGAGTCAGCGGATGTTCATCGTCACCCGCCGAACCTTTGGAAGTTGGCGTCGATGCCGCGCGACGGCGTTTTTTCAAAAGTTCCTGCCCCCTCTTTGATCTTCGGGGTACTTCATCCATGCGCGGAGGAGGAGAGGAAGCATGAGAGGTCTCCATCTCTCCCGCAAGGCCGTGCCGCTCTGTCGATCGATTAGCTGACCAACATCTGCCGCAGCCGCGGGGCC